TGTCTTCCACTCATATTGCTTGTCTTTTTTTTTTTTTTTTTTATCTGGATTAATGCTACAAAAAATGCTTCAACTTACAAAACAAGAGTCAGTGTCATCCCTCTACTTTAAAATAAGTAATAATTATCCTTGAGCTTTGAGAAAGAGCCAAGCATCATCCCTCTATTCACCGATGATTATAACACCGTCAATACATCCGTTAAAATCCTTCGAATTTTAACGGAAAATAACAGTGCCGTCACTCATCTTTACGTTCTTATCCACTTTGATCCTCAAACTTGATATTTATTTAATTTGGTCATTCATTTTAACTTTTATTATTACAATTTAGTCATAAACTCTTCAAAGAATTCAACTTAAATCCCAAAATTTATAATTTCATGCATTCCATTATTTTCTACACAAATAATAAAAATCATGTAAAATCTAATAAAATCACTTTCAACAATCCAAAATATTAATAAAATTAAGGATAAAAGAGTAAACTAAATTGTATAAAATTCATTTGTCCAAAGTGAAAAATCACATCTTTAATGTCCAATTTGAGATCCTTAAAAATAAAGGGAGGATATCTAGCAAGTTGTATATACATAACTCGTATTAGAAAGAAATTAACAACATTATGATAAAAAAGGGATAACTAAGAGATGCTTGTCTTGTTTTTCTTGTAATACACTCAAAACCATAAAAGTATTATCAAAATTATTATTAGTTCATGATATATACACAATCACATTTACACTAGATCTCTAAGTCATATCTACATCATTTACAATTTCTTCACTTTGGTTGTAATATTTTATAGAATTTTAAATTGGGCATCAAAGATATTTGGGACAACTATAAGAAATTTGATTTTACATTTTAATGATATGAGTTTTATATATAGGAAAAATATTGTGTCTTCTGAACTGTGTGAAATTATATAAAACTAATCATTAGATAAGGGTCAAAACATTAATGGTCCTTGTTTTTAGTTTGATGTAGTTTAGACTATAAAATAGGGTTCCCTTTTTATATTTTAATTTACTATTTTAAATTTAATCTTACTGTTATTTGAACTAATTGAATATTTAAATGTGATTTTATTAAAAGTTACATAATTTTTATTTTTTATGTAAAAATAGATTGGAAATGCAAATTTTGAGATTTAAGTGCACCCCTTTCAAAATTTTAGGAACTAAATTGTAATAAAAAAATTGGAATTAGGGACCAAATTGAATAAATATGAACTTTAAGGATCAAAGTGCATATAAATTGAAGCTTGAGGGACAAGCTGTGTTAGTTTACCATTAAAATTTGGAGACTTTTAACCGGAGCATGGACGGTGTAATGACGAGGGATGATACTTGGCCCTTTCTCAAAAGTTTAGGGATGTTTATGACTTGTTTTAAAGTATAAAGATGACAATGACTCTTTTTGTAAAGTTGAGATTTTTAGTGATATTAAGGAAGCCTTTTTATTTTCATTGGTTCAATAATTGATCTACCTGCTTTCAAAACGCTGTCGCTGTCCCCTGCAACTTGTGGGAGAGAATTTTGCTATCCGTGGGGTCTTGCAGGCATTGTCATTGTGAAAAGCGGCGCTCCACTGAGTCCACCACAATGACACGTTATGTCAATACAATGTTTTTAAAACTGAACCCGGAAGTAAGATCATTTTGCCCTTTAATTTTTGTTTTTAGCGGTTTGGCTGGTCTTTCAGTCAATATATCTGTAGCAAACTTATCCTGTTACTACGGTGAACTTTAGTCTTCCTTCCATCAAGTCTTTCTTTTATGATGTAATAATAATAAGCAACTATTCTACATTTTTGAACCATTTTACATTCTCATTTCACTGTAATTTGCTTAGCAAAGATCTACCAGGAAATAGCCATGAAATCCCTCGACTTTCTCATTGACTTGCCTACTGTAAGTTCTCTCTTCTCCTTACCAGCCTCAACTCTTCTCCCCCTTCTAATTTGTTTGTTAAATAGTACCTCTCTCCATTCTTGTTCATCATTTTTTTCCAATTAATATTAAATACCTTTGCAATAATCCATGCTTAATTTCATCCTTTTGCAGATCCACCTGTTTCATTCTCTCTTAAATCATTGATGAAACTCTTGTCGTTGGCCATAGTAGTTGCAATTTGTTCATGGTATTTTTTCTTGTTCATCATTTTTTTCCAATTAGTATTAAATACCTTTACAATAATCCATGCTTAATTTCATCCTTTTGCAGATCTACCTGTTTCATTTTCTCTTAAGTCATTGATGAAACTCCTGTCGTTGGCCATTGTAGTTGCAATTTGTTCATGGTATTTTCTTTTGTACCAATTAATGTTTAGTACATGCTTTTTCTACGTATCATTATTAGATATAGTTGAAATAATCCACATATACTTATCACTTTTACAGATCTGTCGGAAGCCTATATATTCCATCCATTCTCTCTGAAGTTATTGGATATATAAATTGTTGGCGTTGACCATGCTAATTGCATGTTTGCATTTGTTACAAATCTGTGTTCATCTTCTCTACACTTGTCCTTGCAACTGGTACATTGTTTTGTGATGTTAAATTTCTCTTCTTTCCACTATCAAATATCAGTTGAAATTTTTAAGTTCTTTTTTTGCAGATCTGCTATTATCGTGCATCCTCTCTTAAATCATTGAAGAACTCTTTTGCAGATCTGCCTATTAAATCTGTGTTCATTTCTCCCTTATTGTTCTTGGTATATTCTTTTCTAATGTTTATTTCATGCATATAATTTCTTCATAATTAATAACCATTATTGGACATGTTTTGAAATTTTGTTATAATAATCTGTATATACTTACGTCGATCTCTTTTGCAGACTTGTCTACTTCATCCATCATCTCTTAAATCATTGAAGAAACTGTTGCCCTTGGCCATATCAGTCACATTTTTCACAAATCTGTGTTCATTTTTTTCTGCCGCCATCAATAGTTGAAGAAACCGTTTTATCCAGGTATATTTTATTTAACTAGATAATACCCTGCCACACACGGGAACTTTGCAAAGAAATAGTAATTTATATTTTTAAATTTTATAAATATTATTTTTATGTAAAATATTATTTATTTTCAAAAATTAATTATAATTAAAAAAAAAAAAACAACTGTTATATGCATCTTTAGAGTTCTTTAACATATATAAATTTTCTCTAATAAAAGATAATTGAAGAACCATATGTTTGTGCAAAAACCCAATGTTTTTGGACCCGGCCCGGCCCGGCCGGTTGAACCGGTTAAACCGGACCCGGACTTGAAAACGGGCCGGTTGAATACTTCAACCCGTTTAAGCAAATGGCCCGTTGAAACCCGTTGAAACCCGTCAGACCCGTCCCGCCCGTTAAACTCGTGCGACCCGTTGCAACCGGCCGGGCTGAAATTTTCATCATCTTCTCGTTTGTCGATTGTCCGCCAATCGTCCGCCGATCGTCCGCTGATCATCCACCGACCGTCCGCCGATCGTCCGCTGATCATCCGCCGACCGTCCGCCGATCGTCTCTTCCACCGATCTTCTCGTCCGTCGATCTTCTTGTCCGCCGATGGTCCACCGATCCTCTCTTCCGCGATCGTTCGCCGATCTTCTCCACCGCCAATCGTCCGCCGATCATCTTTTCCGCCGAGCGTCCGCCGATCCTCTCCTCCGTCGCTGCACTTCTTCTCTTTCGCCGATCATCTTCATCTCCCTCGTCTGTTCTGCTCAAAAAGATCTGTATCGTTTTCGGGTGAAACCGTAAAGGTAAGGTATAAATTATAAAAGCAAAATTCAATAAAAAATTAAAAATGCCCAAAAAAAAAGTTTTTTAGTTGACTTTAGTTGACTGGTTGAACCGGTCGGGTGAACCGGTTCAACCTGTTGACTCGGACCCGGTGGTCAAAACGGGCCAGCCACCGGGCCGGGTTCAAAAACATTGCAAAAACCTATCTCTTGCGTTAATCTAAAGCATCATACACACATTCATTCAGTTAAAAGGTATATATAATATTAAAAAAAATTAACTTTATACAATTAAGAGGAATCTATAATATTGAAAGTTATAAAAAAAAAAAGAAAAAGAAAAACAATTTAAGCATTTTAAATAGAAATGAGAAATATCAAAATCTTGAGAAGTGAAAAGTTGATGAAGTGGGTTGAAACCCTTCCTCCTATTCTAAAAATTGTAAGTGTTCAAAAAAAATATATATATATATATATATATTACCAAAAAAAGAGAGTACATTATGGGGTTGGAGAAAGTAAACTCCACTCCGAGCGCCATCAGCAGACAAAATCTAAGTTAAAAAAGAAAAAAGAAAAAAAAACAACCCACAACAAAAGCGGAAGAAAGGGATGTCCCATCTTGGCAAGTTGATCAACACACATATTATTCTCTTTAACGATGTGTTTCAGTTGAGCTTGAGCAAAATGACTCGCGAGTTCTATGACATCCAAGATCAAAGTACTTAATAAATGCGAATTGTAAACATTGGCAAATAGTAATTAAACGGTACAAAAAAAAGAGTCACTCATTGATAATCTTCGAAAATGCCCTAGCAACAACTAGTTAGAGGCCATCCTGTGTGGCCTAATGCTCAACGCTTAAGCTATTAATAATGCCTATATGCCTGGCATACCCCATGATCCAATTGCCATTATGATCCCGAAATATCCCTCTCGCAATAGCAGGTTTGGGTATGCCTAAAGCAACACCATCAATAAGTTTAACAAAATTAGCAAAATTCGGAAGAGGTTTACCCCAACAAAACAGGACATGTTGCCTATTGGATGCCTTAGATTGGATAGGAAAAACCAACCAAAATTCAACAGCTTTATCAATAATAAGAGGAAACCATTTAGAATCTTAAAAATCAGAATCCCTACAACTCGTCATTCCGCTACAACCAAACTCCCCAAATAGCAAATGAAAACAAAGTAGTCCAAGAAATTTTGAAAACAAAGGAATAATCCATGCATTTAGAGCTTGCTCTTAACCAACCAATAAAAGAAACACTAGAATGCTTGGGTAATCACATCAGGGATGACTTTGTTCTAAATGTTGAGTGAGTATGAATATGTTACCTTAAAATGGATAGTTTTTCTTAAAGCAAGGAATTTTTCTCGTATAAAAGTTAAGTTTCTTAAATAATTAAAGAGCTTCTTCCAATCAAAATCTTAAACTGAAACCTAGCTACGAACATATTAAGGAGTGCCATCACTAATTGGAATTGATTTAAAACTTACTAAAAATCTAACAAAATAAATCCAGACCATTAGATATTATACAAATAAAAAAAAATTATTCTAGGAGGAAGCAAGACCAAAAAACTAAAAGTAGTTTATCAATAACCAAACATAATATCAATTAGCATAAAACAACTCATAAAGTACCATAAGAGCATCCTATGAATGGGTTCTTTAATTAAGACTCCAAAGTGCTGAACCATATAGATTGCTAATAAGTAGATTAGGTATATAATCAAAAATAAAAAGGAACATAGAAGGGAAGAAACCTTTGAGAGAAGTTTTTTCAATATATTTTGAACCCATTTTGCTAGATAAATGTCCATAATTAGAAGAAATCTGGTTGACCTCTCAATCATGTTATTTGTACCACCTTTAATTTCCTTTGCTGCTTAAGAAAAATGGAAATGGAATCAATCTGTCAGGCCTAAGTATTCCAAAATATTTTATCAACCCACTCCCAGAAATAAAAAGGAAAACATGAGGGGTTCATGTGCTGCCTTTGGACTCAAGAAGCAAGAGCTTTTCACTGTAATAAATTTTAGAGCAAATTAAATGCATTCAATAGTAAGAGTGAAGCCCATAAAAGTTATTACATGAAGTTAGTGATATCTAATTAATTCTTAAAGAAAAAGTCAAACATGCTTAGAATGAAAGTTTCATGTGGGAGAATTACTTAACAAAATTGAAGGCATCACCCACTATATAAGGAACTAGTCAAATTGAGGAGAAATAAAAATAATAGGCTTCATGCTTAACCAAAATCAATCTCCTCTGTAAGATCTTCCCATCTTTTGAGAAAAAAACCAATAGAACCCCCAAGATAATTAAAAAGAAACCCCCTTTTCCTAAAAATCCAAACCAAATTCTCACCTTACTCCTTCTTTGCAATTCCATTTCAATCAAAATTTTCTAGGATTTAGCCGAATTACTTGACCCAAGAGCATTTGAACTATTAAACCCCCAAACACATAAGCCAAAACCCTACCTAAAGCCTTGAAACTTACCCCAGATTCTCAATTAAGCCCTATATACTTTTATTGAAGCAAATAAACCCCTAAATTTGGTGATTTGGGCAGTTTAACCCTTTTCCTTGTGATGCACTGAACATCCGTTTGGGCCTTACTTCCATGGACAAAGTTAATATCCACCACGTAGGCAATGACATGTCAATACCTTGCTCATGTGAGGCACAAACGGGTGTTAAATTCGCCATAAAGAAAAGAAAGAGAGTTAAATTGCCCCAATTATCAAGTTTAGGGGCTTATTTGCTTCAATAAAAATTTAAGGGCTTAATCAAGAACCTGAGGTAAGTTTGGGGACTTAACTTAGGGTTTTGCCGATGCATAACCATTCATATTCGGTTTGAAAATTGCTAGATTTGTTGGATCTAATCATGGGAAGCCACTGTAGGAGGGAAAGAAGAATCAAGAATGATTAAGAAGTAATTGCGAATTTGAAAGGTTTTATTTATTGGTGAAATTGTAATCCACAACATAACCCAAATTACTCAGGCAGACTACGAAATTATTGATATTATTAGACTCTAATGCTTAAATCATGAGACAAAGATAAGAACGCAATAAATGGCTTTACCAATGATGAAGACAGTGGTTCTACAATTCATCATGAAATTGAGACCCAAAACTGCATATATAGTTTGTGGAAAAGAAAGAATAAAGTAACTCATATTATACCATACATTTTACCATCCTACCAAGGGCTGGAAGTTATTCCCAATACCCAACATAGAAGTAAGTACTGGACATGCAGGAACAGAAAGAAAAATGCAATGTTGGTTTGAACTTTCTTGTATGATAGCCAAGAATATGATGATCTAAAGAAACTATAAGTTCATTTTTTTATATAAGAAAATATAAATTCTAAATATGTATAAAAGGATGAATTTCTTGGATATATAAAAAGATGAAACCATAGGTGTGAACATGTTGAACCATAAAGAAATCAATCAAGTACGATAGTGTATTAATAAATTTTTGAGAGCATTCAACGTTAAAGATTATAGAACAAAATTGAAACACTCTCCAATTTTTAACCCTTTTTATGATTGTCCCTCCTAAAACCCAAATCTCCTCCAAAATACTCCTTATATACTGGCTAAAATAACTACACATTTCAGGGAAGTACTTTGACCCAAGAAAAAGGATGGGAAAAATCAACAAATCAGGTGGGAAAAAGAAAAGAAAAATAAAGAATGATAAAAGAAGCTTGAATGAAGTCAACATGACTCTCTTTCTTCCTTTTTTTTTTTTCTTTTTTCTTTTTTCGTGAGAAGGCTTTCTTGAAATTGATACTCCTATAATCAATTTGGCCTAAGTCACATCATTCTCTACCACTGATGCATAACAAATTAAATGATCTACTATTATCTATTTTTTTGTCCCTAAAAATAGAGCACATTCTCAACACTTTTGAATGCAAATTAATTCAAGAGCTACTTTTACTTAAATATCAAGATGGAAATCTCAAACACAAAGCTCTATAATTAATCAAAGGCAACTCTAATCCTTTCCTCCAAAAGATCTTCTTACACCCTAGTATTCTTTAAAAGAAAGAAACAAAAATGCAACAAATATCTGTTGAAACGCAGAAAAGACAAAATAAAAGTCTAAAGCAATGTAGTTATAACCACTTTCTAAGACACAAACTACAGCAAACATAATACAACCCTAGAAACAGTAAAAGGACTCAGACTCAAGCATTAAGAACACTCATTACCTTGTCAACATATTGCTGTATTGTAGCGAAACCCACAGTAAATCCAGTCTCATGAATCTAAACAAACAAATAAAAAAACTTATATTAAAACCTCTATGATTACACTTTCTGATTAGAGAAGAAATAAGACAAAGTTTCAATTTGGGCAAAATAATTAAATATAAGAAATAAAAGAGAATGAAATCCATACCTATATGTTAAAATTTTAGAAATTGGCAAACATAGCAAAATGAATTTCAAATATGCTCAAAAACAAAATCAAATCAAGTCTTATTACATGTATATAGAATTCTAAAGCCAACATGTCTACCAATTTAACTATTAATTATTAGTAAAAGTTAGTAAAAGGCTATTACATTAGATGTAGGATTATGCCTTTGATATAGTGCATCAAAATTGATGGGCAGTAGTTATGAAAAGGTGAGATGAAAGAGACCAAAAAAATAAAGCCACTAATTTGGAGATAGAATAAGTTTTTTCTAGCTAGCAGCACAGGGTTGTGATCTGCATATGCCATATATGTTATGAGAATCATACACATATTGATCACATTTACCAATGCATGTTAGAAGAAAAAACTCGACAGTCTTGTGTACAACTTCTGTAATGTTTTAAGAACAAACTTCTTTTGGTAGGTTAACTAAAATTTCTTTCTAGGTTACATTACAAAGTCATAAAATAAAATCCAAGGAAGAGCATACCTGAACTTGCAACTGAAGTGATTTAAGGAACTCAATGGATTCATTCAGTGGCAAAGCCTCGTCTGACTAAAAGGAGCAAAATACATAATTTAGAAAATGAATCCTTAGTGCTACTTATTAACAAAAAGGCAGAAAGAAATTAATGAACAGAGAAATAATATACTGTTTCAATCAACTCCTTCATAAACAGATGAAAAAGTACCATTTTAACATTGAACAGAAGCATCAACAAAAAGTTTGACTAATTTTACACCAAAGTATTGAAATTCACATGGAGCGAAGTTCAAATATGCTCGAAGAAACACTGAAATAAAACTTTAAGAGAATTGCCCAACTGCAAATCGGTCAACAAAACAAAATTTTCTAGATAAAATTGGTATAATAGAAGGTATCTCACAGTGGCCAACAAATCTTTTTCAACCTAGCATGTAGTTAAGTCAAGCATTGAGAGAATCTCTCAATAGAATTTGGAATGGAAGTAGTGGAAAACAAAAAGGGAAGGCTATCTCGCCGAATGTGTAGGGAGTGAGTGAGGGGGCCAATGTTTCCAAGGAAGATTCAGTGTTGAGTGAACTGGTGAGCAAGTTTACGATCAAAATTTGACTATTAAAAAATTAACACATAAAAAAGAAATAAATGAACTTACTGAGTTTTGAAATGAAATGAAAGTGAAAAGGCAAGACCCAGGAAGCAGAAACTCATCTTTGCTAAAGATCGCCAGCTTCAAATTGCGATCCTATCGATGTTGATTAGAAATGAGCACAAACTAAAATGCTAAAAAATAAAAAAATTGATGGATTTGAATAGATCTGATGGAATTGAGTAATGTCTAGATGAAGCATTGTGATCGGGATTTAGAACGTGATTAGGTGAATGAACAAATAAAAGGGGAAATGAAACGGCATAGGAAAAGGGTAAAAAGAAACAAAGGGATTTACGAAGTGGGTGTAAGATGCAGGCTTAAAATTGGTGAAAAGGTTATTTAACCCATGTACTTTTCAATATTGTTGAGATTAACCCTGTAACTTTTTTCTGTAATATTTGAACCCATCACTTATATATTGAAATAAATTAATAGACTTACTTTCCGATTGAAATAAATTAGATAAAATCTAACGTACGACGTCCTAAAACGTAAGTTTACTGTGAAACCCATTTATTTGTCGTTAGTACATTACTGACTTGGTGCATGTGAGACCTGACATGGTTTGATGTGAACTACTCTTTTTATGACATGGCCTTGATTTGTTGACATGGCCCCTTTTATTTCCCCAAAAACAAAGCAAAAGCCAATCAAAGCAAAAGGAAGGAAGAGGAAGAGGAAGACAACTCTTGACGACATCGTCTTCATCAGAGTGCAAGAATGCGGACTTTGTGTTCGTCGATTTCTCCATCTTTCAAGGTAGTTTTGTGGGTATTTCATTGGATGCGGGTTTGGTGTCAGATTTGGTCCTCGTGATGTTGGCTTCCTTCAGCTTACACATACCTCATCCAGTGTTTATTCTTCTTCTTGGATTTGTTGCTTCTCGTCCTTTACTTCTTCTTCTTCTTCAATTTGGGGCTAGTCTTGTTTATGGATTTGCTCCGACAAGTAATGGGTATCAGATTTTGGGATTTTTTCCGGGAAATCAGAGGTGGGTTCTTGAGATAAGTAATTGGAGAAGTTAATCGACTTGAGCCTTTGCAACATAGATAGAGATCTAGACCAAAAAGCTTGCGGTTTCTACGTCGGCTCCAGGGTTTGCTGAAAAGAGAAATATTGGGAATCGACATCCAGATAGGGAGATTTTTCAAAGCTAGTAATGGGTTCTTAAGATCTATAAATTGTGAAAATTGATAGATTTAAGCCTTTGAGGAACAAAGGGAGATCTAGCGAGGCGGTGCGACAAGTCTGGCTGTTTATGCTGTTCAGTGTTGCCGAATTTGTTGGTGAGGAAGCCGGAAGTAATGAAAATGGTGCCAACAATGAGAGTTGGACTACTTCCTCTTCCTTCCGTTTGCTTTGATTACCTTTTGCTTTGTTTAACGGAAGCAATTTGCTTTATATTTTTCCCTTAATCGGCTCTAAATAAAACCCTAAACTTAAAGTTGTTTCATATTCTAGATAGTTTCAATGAATGGCGGCAGTTTTAGAGCGAGTGAGTTTTTAGGAAAATAAAAGGGCCATGTCATAAAAAAAAGTAATCCACATTAACCCATGTCACAAAATTGGATCCCATATGCATTAAGTCAGCAATGTATTAATGACAAAAAAAGAGTTTCATGGTAAATTGACATTTTATGATGTCATACATTAAATTTTGATTAATTTATTTCAATTAAAAAGTAAATGTATTAATTTATTTTAATATATAAATAATGAAATTCAAATATTACAAAAAAAAGGTTACATGGCTAATCTCAACAATATTAAAAAGTATATTGATTAAAATACCCTTTTCACCACTTAAAATTAATGGAAAGGTGAAAGAAAAAGTAATAAAAAAATAATACTTACTAAATAAAGAAATTATTACACGTGTAAGAGAAAGAATAAAATTAAAAAGTAATATAAGATTGACACTTGTCATTACTTACCTTTAATAGTTTTTGTATTAATATATATATAGAGAGAGATATTTGATGACGATATTAAATGCGTGTATTGATTATTAATTGTTGGTTGTGATCAATTGCATCCGTACATATTACACTAATCGACTTTATTTAAATATACAGTTCATAATTCATATATCATTACATTGTATAGGAAATTGATAGAGGTAGAATGGTTTTGTGTATAATGTAACTAGACTCTAAAGTCATGCTTCTGCAATTGGTTTGTATTCATATTTTTAATAATTATTAAATATAAAAATATTAATATATAATTAAAATTAATCTTTGATTAATAAATATAAAAATTATTTCAAAGACATAAACATCTTACTTCTATATCAATTTAAAAATTTTGAGATAAATGCAGTAGAGCACTCTTCATCATATCTTCATCAATTTCTTGTGTCTTTACATTCATAACTTTTATTATTATATATCTCTTTTTACCACAATTTGTCTCCTCACTCGAAAATGCGCACGTTAGAGGGTTTTAAGTTAAACCAATTAAAGAAAAAAGTCATAACTCATTAATATTATTCTTTTAGTTTTTTTTTTTTTTTTGGTGTTCACTCTTGGTATTATTTTATTTTTTTATTAATTTTTCTTATAATGTCATCTCTTAGCTTATCTTTAGGTATTTATCATTATATTTATTTATCTACTCATATTCTCCTTTATTTTCTCTCATTATATTAACAATTTTTTGTTATTATTCTTTCTCATCTTATCCTCCCATCATATTATTTTTTTTTAAAATTACTCCTTGCATATCCATCAATTCTTACATATCTTATATTATTGTAATACTCCAAATCTCATATTGATAAAGAATTATGAGTGAGTTTGATATATAAATGTATTCATAACTTGAGTTGAACTTTTGAGGGTTTATAAAGATAGGTCAGTGACAAGTTTCAACTTGGGTAATTTCAACTATTCTAATTCTTTCTCTTCCTTATCTATCTTAGAAATATGTCCTAAATCAAAATATAAAACACAACTTTTTAAGTATATATTTTTCTTTTACTTATGTACCCTTACTCCACCTCTCTTAATTTTTTCTTTCAACATTATCTCTTTTTTTTCTTTTTTCTTTCTTTTTTGTCACTCTAAACTATATCCATCTCAACTTTCACTTTCTATATTAATAATTTATTTATTAATATTCTTTCTCCTCATCATCCATTCTCTATTGTTTTTCCTTAGTCACCCCTTATATCTTCATTAGTCATCATATATATTTTTTAAACAATTTTCATCTTTATAATTATCATTAGATATTTTATCACTACAAGAAAATAGACTTTTTGTGATTAAAAGTAGTAACTGAATTTCAATTCATTATTAATATCCTTTATATTTGTAACCAATTCAAAATATTTCTCTAATACTGATTTTCGAAATTCGAATATACAATTTCTACACCAAACTATATTATCAATATGTTTCTACAAATTAAAGATTTTCTCACTGTATTAGGAATTATACAACCTCAAATTATTCTCAACGAAATGATGAATCAACATATGCCTTTAAAACAATCAAATAGCATGCCAAATAATTTTTCAAATCATATATTTTGCACCCGTAACCATTAACAATTAGAAAATAGCGTGCCAAATAATTCATCAAATAATATGTTCTACGTGGGTGCTATTGATTATTAGCACAATTTTGGTTATTAGTGATGCAGCAAATAATGAGATGTTACAACTAGATTGTATATAACAAAATGGAGGAGACTACCTTCTACACAATCACTTAACTATAACTTACAAAATAAATGTATAAATTAATCTTGCAAAGGATAATTCAAATGCACAAATCAAAACAGTATAGTGTTTTAATACAAATAATTATTAATTTGAACATAAACCAGTGCAAATTTTTTTAATTATATCCACAACATTTTCATCTATTACTAATTAGTCAAACTTGATTGTCAACTTCTGCCAATCAAATCTTTAAAATTCAATCCTTAGAAAGAATAGAAGTCCACTTTATATTAATGTTTTGTTTAGTTAACTAGATTTGCCATAGTTGATTAGCTAACTTCTTATTAAATTAATAAGTCTTTTTTGGTTTTCCATGCTTTATTTAATTTTGAATATTGTTTTCTTTTTTTATTAAATGTATAAACTATTTCCTACAGCCTTAATTTCCTAAAGCGTAGTACCTATACATCTAAACAAACAATTTCTTGCCTTGTAAATAGTACCTTACAATATACTTACGCAGGAACTACGAAATGGAAAGTATAAAACCAATCTATGACATTGTGAAGGATATTGTCCCTACAGTTTGGGCATGTGTGAAGTACCAATTATGCTTGGGTGATTATGTTACTAAATTCAAAGAAAAGAAAGAAAGCTTGCTGGCAAGACAAGGTGACATCAAATCAAAAATAGAAACACAACGTTACCCTGGAAAGATTGAAAGCAGGGAAGTTAAAGATTGGCTGGACAGAGGAGATAAAATAATTCATGATGTTGAAGATAAAGTCAACAGAGTGGGATGCTTCTCTCACATTTGTGTAGCAAAATATGTGGATGAAAAAGCTGGAGAAATGAAGGAAATATTTGATGAAGGGGAAAAATACACCAAGGTTGATGCAATTTTGGTGGTTGATGATCACTCAAGAAAGGGGATTGCAGTCCCAACCCCAGAACTACAAGGCAGGGATGCTACTAAAATAGAAATCTTGAAATATATAGTGGAAGACAAGATTACAAGGATCGGAGTTAGTGGACTTGGTGGTATGGGTAAAACAACCATCATTAAGCATGTGCACAATGAACTATTGAATAGAGAAACCAAATTTAAGAAAGTTGTTTTGGTAACAGTAACGAAGCAGTTTGATGTTATCAAGTTACAAAAAGATATTGCAAGACAATTGAAAGTTTCTCTGCCAGATGAGGATGCAATTATGCGTGCAGCGGTGTTATCAGAGACATTAGCAAAAGGTTGTTACTTGTTAATTTTAGATGATGTGTGGGAGTGCATTTCTCTTGAAAATGTTGGAATTCCAGATTTAGTTGGAAACAGTGGTTGCAAATTGTTGTTGACTACACGTTTTCAAGATGTTGCTCGGTGCATGAATTGTAAGATGGTCAATTTGGAGCCTCTTCCAGAAAAAGAAGCATTTCAACTATTCTTGAATAAAGTTGGAAGTGCAGATACTAGTGAAGGCATTATAAATACACTAGAACCAACTTTGAGACAAGTTGTGGGGGAATGTGGAGGTTTGCCTCTGGCTATTGTCACAGTTGCAAGTTCCATGAAAAAGGAATCAAGCCCTCAGTTGTGGCAGAATGCACTAGATGAGTTGAGAAATCGTAGAAGAATGATCGCAAATACAATAATTGTGGAAGGTTCAATGAATGATGCATTTGAGATATTGAAATTCAGCTTTGATCGTTTGAATGATGAAAAAATTAAATGTTGCTTCTTATATTGTGCACTATATCCTGAAGATTTTGCAATTCGAAAAAGGAAGCTAATTGAGTGTTGGATTGAAGAAGGATTTATTACTCCAATGGAAACTAGACATAAGATGAATTGTCAGGGGCATGCTATTCTAAAGAAGTTGGAAGATAATTGCTTGTTAGAAACAGTTCACACTAAGCAAAGTGGAGTAATTGATGATGAAGACGATAAAGCTGTGAAGATGCATGATGTTTTGAGAGCCATGGCTTTGGATATCACAAGCAAGAGTCCTCGGTTCTTGATAAAATCTGGCATGAACATTAGAGAGATGCCAAACAAGGAACAATGGACAGAGGATATGAAGAGGGTTTCCTTGATGAGGAATTCAATAGAAGAGATTCCTAGAGATTTGTCTTCTCCACAATGCCGAAGGCTTACAACTTTGTTGTTGTCCCATAACAACTTATCAAACTTTCCAGATTTCTTTTTTGAGCAGATGAATGAACTCAAGATTCTTGATCTCGCCAAAAATTATGAATTGAAGAGTCTGCCAAGTTCCATCTCCAAATTGAAAAACCTCACCACATTGTTATTAATTGGTTGTCGACAGCTAAGAAAGGTGCCAGCTTTATCTAATTGTCAAGCCATAACAAAGTTGGACTTCAACAGGTCTGGAATTGAAGAAATCCCTGAAGGTATGGAAATGTTAGTGAATCTTAAATATCTTGATCTTAGTTATACAAAAATAAGAAAACTGCCTGAAGGAATGTTACAAAAACTATCATGTCTTCAAATCCTAGCATTAAGAATAGGTGGGATCATGTACCATGGGATCCAAGTAAAAGGTGAAGATTTGGGGGCATTAGAGAAGTTAGAATACTTTGATGGGGTGCTAATGGATTGGAATGAGTGGAGCATTTTCTTCAAAATGATGCAAAGTAGAAGGCAACAACTTAGAGATTATAGATTGGGTATTGGATCTGGAGTCGAAAGGAATTATCGAGATCACAAAAGATGGAAGAGATTGTTTAAAATATCATCCCTGCCAATTACTTTTGATAAGTGTGCCTTTCTACCCCACAATGTTGAGACAATTGCAATTGAAAGTTGTCATTACTTCAAATGCTTAGACCAACTTTCTTTCTTGAATGATACAGTCAACTTGACAACATACATAATCACTTACTGTCAAAGCTTAGAGTTTGTTTTCTCCTCATTTTCCAACTTCAGGCAGCTTAAAACCCTTCAGAGTTTGCTGCTTACTGATTTAGAAAACTTGAAATCCCTTCTTAAAGAAGAATCTCTTGCTCCGTCAGCACATTCTCTCCCTCTTAAAACCATCCTGATTAAAGGTTGTCCTAAAATAAAGAAGTTATTCTCGCCTGGTTTGCTAGTCAGGCACCTCCAAAACCTGGAATATATTTCAGTTGGTTGTTGTAAAGAATTAGAGGAAATAGTAGCCTCCGAGGAGTCCAGAGAAGAAGAAGATGTTAATCTCCCTCTCTCCAAATTGAAAATACTCATATTGTATAATATGCCCAAATTGAAGAGCATCTGTGGCAGAACCAGAGGGTTGAAGGTTAGGCACCTCCAGAATCTGGAATATATTATTGTGGAAGGTTGTGAAGAATTGGAGGAAATAATAGCATCTGAGGAGTCCAGAGAAGAAGATGCTAATCTCCCTCTCTCTAATCTGACAGAATTTGTCTTGCGTAACATGCCCAAATTGAAAAGCATCTGTAGCAGAGCTGGAGGGTTACAGGTTAGGCAGCTCCAGAATCTAGAATCTATTACTGTGGATGGTTGTGAAGAATTGGAGGAAATAATAGCATCCGAGGAGTC